GCGCATGACTTTATTTTAGTAGTTTTTTTTAGTTGCTATAATTTGTGATAAACATTCAGTTAGCATGCACTGTAACATCATTTAATGCTTATATTTTGTGTCCTCAGGGAAAAGAGCCTGTGTGGGCGAGTCTCTGGCTCGTATGGAGCTTTTTATCTTCATAGTGACTCTCCTGCAGGACTTCACCTTTACCTGTCCTGGAGGCCCCGACAGTATTAACCTCATTCCAGAGTACAGCAGCTTCGCCAACCTGCCTCGTTCTCACAAAATCATTGCGACGCCGCGATGAAAGAGAAAAGCTGCTTTGAGACAATATGAAAATTTCTCAATTCAACTTCAATGATAATTCTATTTTAACTGCATTAATTTCACTAATATGTTGATCCAACTTACAAGATTGAAACAATGGTCTATGTCTTTTTTCGCCAAAAGTGATTTTGACAAAAAAAACCAAAAAAAAAACCACATCTTTCTTTCCAAAAAATGTCTTAAGAAAAAGAGAAATAAATAAATAAATAGGTTTTTGCCAAACAAAATGATGTGGGTATTTATTTCAGGAAGGCGATGATGTTGAAGAAACATGTTATCATTACTATATATTTTTATGCCTTTTTTTCTGTAAATATTGATGATTTTATGTTACACAATTGTTAGGATAAATATTAAAAATAAAGAATTCATACTTTGATTTTGTGTCATATCTGTCATCTTTTTAAAGTGATTTTTATAGTATAAAACCAAGGAAGTTAATATTTCTGAGGAAACCCCAAACCTCAAATCTTAAAATCTGGCTATGGCGTGGTATTAGTACCAAATTAATATGTTTTTGCAGCGGTGGCTACTTCCTTGTTGCAGGAGGCTAACTCCATTCAGTTTATATTATATTTATACCAATATTATTCAGACAGGTCTGGTTGAAAATGTTTGGTTTACAAAGTATTTCAAAGCAGAACACATCGGTTTGATTGATTAATTAAAGTTAAGCCTTCAAATATAATATGTTTATTTAACCGTAATGTCCTATCTGCGATGTGGAGAGTATTTTAATGAATAATTTGTATTCCTTGTAGAAAAGTGCAGTACACATTTGAACATTTTATAATAAAACTAAGAGATTTCCTTTTTACTATGGAACATCCTTTACTATAAAAGTTGAAGAATAATATAGAAATCAGTAATACATGACTGAAAAACAAACTTCGGCTCCGTTGTTTTTTTGTTTTTTTCTTCTCCGCTCTCTGCTTCATGCTGTCACGGTTGCTTGGCAACATGAGTTACGCTGAGGTGGGGGCGGGGACAGTTGGTGAAGCTACACCTGTCTGAATCCACAGATATTTTTCTTCCAGTCTTAGTATATTCCCGGCCTTCGAAGGACCCGTCCTACGTAGACCAGTCCTTCGAAGGATGCAGACCCTGAATTCGGACACAGCTAGTGTGTTCACAGCTAAGGTAGAAGGAAACAAACACACCCAGTACAACACTTCATTCTATTGGCTGAGAGGTTGCCAGGCGACTGTGCCAAAAAAGGCAGTTCCATGTTTTGTAAGCAAACAGAGAGTCTGAGAGAAGCGAAGTGTGAGCGCAAGGAGAGGTTTTGAGTACAAGTGTTCCAAGTTTTGAGAAAAAAGACATGAAGTCCTGCTTTCAAAATGAAAACGTAAGTAAAAAATATTAAAAATTTTGACAACAAAAGACATGAAATCCGGCTCTCAAACGGAAAATGTGTGTTCTTGGATTACGACAGAAAAATTCCCCCATAAACATCGTCAATAATCACACAGATCCCTTCACTTTCAAATAAATTCATCTGTAACCATTGCTCTTTGTTGCAATCCTTTTCCAAAATACACAACTTTTCTTTCTGTAGTGATTGATTGTTCCTCTGTAGCACAGCAGCGCTTTCATTCATGAAGTCAATCAGCTGATTTTACTCACGGCCCGACAGCTGCTTTCTTTGTTCGTCCGTGACAGTGATCGGCTGGATCCTCCAACTTTGTGCTTTTCTTTAAGTCTTCAGTGAAGTTTTTCTACTTGTTGTGACTACTCTTGCATTTCATGTTTCAAACAGATTGTTTAGCTTTACTTATAAAAATAACAGAAATATTCTTGGGGTGGACTTCATTCAAAATATAAACATTAATTTTGTGGTAGAAAAACTGTTTCACTCCTTCACTGCAAACAATCAGATCAAATACAGCAGCTGCCTTTGCTTGTTAATCACAGCAGGACGCTAACAAGGCAAAAATATAAATAGCAATAGAGCTACCACATCTACCATTAGCATAACTTTGGATCAATAACATATTAGTCTAATACTTAGGTTTTGGTAATATCCCAAAATAAAAGTATATAAAGTAGTATTAATTGTTAGAAAAAAATCAAATACAAGGTTTCCCCCAGAAAACTTGCTAAACCGGGTGGTTGGGTGCTAGGGCAGTCATTTGTCTTTTTGAGTTAAAAAAATGTTTAAAATTGACAGGAAATTTGAATCCATCCATTTTCTTTACACCATTGTCCCTTAGTGGGGTCGGGAGGGGGGCCGGCGCCTATCTCCAGCTAACATTCCGGGCGAGAGGCGGGGTACAAGTGGAAAAAAGTGGAATTAATTTATCGTTGAGGTCATTCAAAGGGCGATTGGTGATGTCACAGAGCCTGTGACATCACAGGCTCTGTGACTCCTAGAATAGAGGAGAATATACTTTATGACTAGCTGCTAACTGCTTGCAATCTTTCGACACAGAATCCATTAACGTCAGAGACGCAGACATGCCTGACTTAACCTGGATTGAGAAATTAGCCAACGCTTGTGAATCTGTTGGCAAAAAAATTGCAAAACGCTACAGAAAAAGACGACCCTGGAGCCCTGATTATACAAAGAAGAGATTTGTCAGTGACCTTATTTGGAAGGTGATTGAGAAGGTTGCAGATAAATCAACTCTGCATCTTGTCAGAGATACCTTTAAGGTGGCCCACATTCAGCTAGTGCGCCAAATTATGAAAGAAACTGGGAAACTAGAGCTGCCCCTTCTGACTGAAATGTCAGACCAGCTAAGCGAAAGGATCTTCCAAAGCATCGCCAGAGATTCTTTCCACATGGCTAGTGAGTTGCATTTGTTCACGATACTTTTCTACCCAGATACGTATCCGAGGATTGTGAAAGAATTCAAGTATCACCTGGAGAGCCCCATTCCTCCAGAGCCTACAAAAACGGAGAGATTTCTCTCATTTATACATGAGAAGCTCAAAACGGCTTTGTTTGACACAGAAAGCTTATATTCAGATGAAAACTGCCTGGCCGATACTAAGACCATTGCTTCTGAAAGGAGAAGATCCCTGTTGGGGAACATAGACATCTTCAAGCGTGGAACAGAAGAGGAACGTCATAAAATGGTCAATCTAGTTCTTTGGAAACTGATTTGTAAGGCTAGTTATAGATCTGTCACCCAGTACAAACTGAAACACACTGTACCAGTCTACAAAAGGCTTTCTGTCATACTGTGGGAAGAACTAAAGGATCAAGATTTTCTAATTTTCTACCATATGGACAAAAAACTCGCCAAAGACATCTTCCAACTTCTAAGTGGAAACGAGGATGTTGTAAGGGATAAACTTTTCTATCTCATGAGAATGGATCACCCAATTGTAGATTACAAGATTATATGTTGTTTCAAAAGAGTCTTCACACATCCCAGAAAAGTGAATCTCCCAGAATCCACTCTGAAAATTGCTTGGAAAGACACCAAAAGCGCTGTCTGTAGAATGTTCTGTCGTCGTGTTAAAGTTCATCCAATGCCAAAAAGTATAGAGTTTGAAGAAAGTGAGGGTGAAGGTGAAGGTGCAATTGAACCCCCATCTTCTCCCAGAAACTCTTTTGACATAGGGGGTTCAGAGTCCCATCAACAGTCTCTAGACATAGGAGGTTCAGATTTCCGTCGACAGTCTTTAGACATAGGGGGTTCAGATTTCCGTCGACAGTCTTTAGACATAGGGGGTTCAGAGTCCCATCAACAGTCTCTAGACATAGGAGGTTCAGATTTCCGTCAACAGTCTTTAGACATAGGGGGTTCAGAGTCCC